GCAGGTGCTGCATGCTGTCCGTGCTGAAGGAACCTGGAAGGAGAATTGTTTCACTGGCCTGATGCTGGTGCTAGGTTTGACCCAGGGGCAGTAGAAAGGAGACTGGGCCAAATCCAGCAGGTCCACGAGTGCCCAGTCTGGGTATCAGCTGCAGGGAGTCCAGGGGACCGAGCTGCTTAGGAACAGAGACGGTGGGTAAGGCGATGTGTGCAGGAGCCAGGCCTTCTCTCTGGTCCTCAGTCCTTTTCCCAAGGGTAAGGGGCGTGCCCAGTCAGAATGGGGCCTGGTGCACCCCCATACTTAGAGGACACCTTCGGGTCACCAAGCATCTGTCGCTAAGTTACTCTGTCACATTCTCAGAATTTGGTGACCTTCTGCAGGCCGCTCCTCTTTTCTCAGACAAAGGGATTTGCTTGGCTTTCACCCCGTGCCTTGCCCTCCAGTTTCAGGTTGTCGATGTCAGGGTGCTGTGTGCGTTCGTCTAGACTGCCTAGGGCAGGACTGAGTCCCATGGGTGCTGACAGAGTGGCGGAGGGCCTGTCACAAGAACCCTGCATGATGAGTGTCAGATTAGGGTTGCGGGGGCAGCACAGGGCTCTCCTGGGCACGGAATAGGGTTGCACCGTGCAAAGGCCTAGGAGGAGTGCCTTAGCGGACGTGGGGAGCAGAATCCAGGCTTATTGCAGACACGTCTTCACAAACAGCTGGACTAGGATTACTAAATTCAGGTCTACATGGTAGAGTTTTTAGCTGAAAGACAGGGCTGTAAAAGCAAATGCAGTTAGTATTCATGTTATCAATTGCTTGTTATTTTAGTCATCTTTGGTAAATTTCAGGCCTCATAGGGTGAGTTTTTGTAAATCTGAGGTCCATTCCCGTGCACTTCAAATCTGCAACTGCAGAGTTGCAGGCCAGGGTACACATAGGAGCCTAGACATAGTCGGCCTGGACACCTGCGGCCCTGTCCTCTTGCTGTGTTCTGGTCCCGACTCTCTCCTTCTGGGTGCTTAGCCACTGGTTGTAGTTTTGCTCTTTCCACAGCCCTGCAGTACGTGAAGGTAGAGGTCCTCCTGCGGTGACACAGTCAGGACCCACCTGCCCTCCTGCAGTGTCCCTGTGGGCACCGAGACACACCTGGGCTGGCTCTTCCTCCCGATGACCAGCATCACTGCTTGGAGTCGATGCGCTTCCAGCCCTGTGCAGCAAATGAGTCTTCCTCTCCAGGACGGCTTTCTCTTGAGGGAAAACCCTGACTTCTGGGACGTTCTGAAAGTGGCTGATGACTTCAGCTCCCCTGAGCCCTGCCTAGGGACCTCAGCCTTGGGGTCATCCGTGAGACAGAGCTGAGGTCACCTCCTTATGAAACATGGCTGTGCATATGAGCTAAGCCACTTGCAGTCTTGCATGCCACATGGGCTTGCACTTGAGACAAAGATGACCCTGAGGCTGCCCTCCAGTGAGGGCTATCAGAGGCTGGGGCCACGTGGCTTAGTGTCTTCCACGTGCACAGAGCCTTCCTAATGTGGCTCGGAGCTGAGCCACCCATGGTTCTGCCAGCAGCGACCCTGATGGCCCTGTCCTTGTGCCGTCCCATCCAGGGCCCTGGCAACCCTGGATTCCTGCCGAGCTGGAGCCTCTTACAGGACGCTGCTGTATCTGCCCAGCCTGTAGATGGGTGTGGAGCTGGAGAGGAGGTAGAGGGGTGCCACGAGGTGCTGAGCACAGCACCCTGTCGTAATCCTGTGCCTCTCTGCCTTTTAAGTAAAAGAGAAAAAAACAGTGACTTTAGCTTTGCTGATGGGGCTGACTTGGGTGTCCACAGAGATATCACAGGGCATCAGATTTTCAGCTCTCGGGTGCTGTGCTCTGAAACAGTGACTTCTGCCTTCAAATGCAGGATTCCTTCTTGGCATATTTTGCAAGTGCAGGTTGAATATTGCTCACCTGAAATCTGGACTGCTCTGATGTGCAGCAGACTTTGAAGCTGGTGATCAGAAAGCTTTGGATTTGGGAACATTTCAGATTTTGGGATCAGGGGTGCTAAGCTGGTAAAAATTCATTTGCAAATATTTCAAAATCTGAAAACTGAGGCTCTTCTGATCCCGTGCATTCTGGCTCAGGGCTGTTCACTCTGTACGCTTTGGGTGTGGTTCCTGCCCAGATGTCAGGGCCCTGCGACTCAGCCGTAGAATGTCACGAGAGTGCTATGACGATGCAGGCCATGTATGCCCTGTTGGAGGGCTTTTCTGGACAGCCTGTCAGCAGTGCTATAGCTGCCAGGAGCGTCACCCTGTGTGTACTGACCTCTGGAGCGACTAATGTGGGCAGGAAGGGGAGTGGGTCCCAGGCTCTGCAGAGGGTGACCACAGCTGTCTAGACGATGGGCCCGCTCTGAGGTGGGCAAGCTGTGGTGTGCAACAGTACCGTGCCTCCTGTGCAGCAGGGCACACATCCTTGGCTGGCAGCAGATCAAGGCATGCAGCCCTCTTAGTAACCCTGCCGCCTGTGCTGGAGTGAAACTTGCTATTCCAGATGAATGAATTGAATACCCGTGTAGTCCCAGGGAGGGCAGCCCAGGACCACCCAGAAGACATGGCAGAGGTTCCTAGGCAACACAGCTGACTGGAGTAACATGGGGCAGCACGCGGCTTTGTGATGTGCAGCTCTGCATGGGGCAGGTCATGCTGCAGGGTGAGCATCTGTGGGGCCATGGCCTGCAGCGTGGAGCCCGCTCTCAAGAGCTGAGGTCCATTCCTGAGCCAAGACTCCAGGTCATGGTCTAACAGAAAAGTGAAATCTCAGGGTTGCAGAGGTGGGGATGGTCGTTTGGCTTCTGCAGTGGTAAAGTTTGTTATAAAAGGATCAAAGGCAGAGACTCGTGGTGTCTGTGTGGATCCCTCTTCTTTTTTACCTCTAGAGGAGAAGCACATGAGCTAGTGCAGAAGTGTGTGCACAGACGAGCACGCAGCCCTCCCCTCTATCCACCTCGGAAGCCACCCCACAGAAAACCCTTGAGTCAATTCCTGGGCCAGGCCTTCCTGCCTGCAAGGGACTGGGAGGCTGATCACGTTCATCCTACAAGCTGAGGCCTTTTGCATAAAGTACTTTCGGCTTTGGACAGAAGCTATGAGTAACCTGAGAGCCCGTATTCAACCTGGGCAGTGGCCTGCAAGTAACCCCGGGAGAGGGCTTTGCCACAATCTGCTTCCGTGTCAGGTGCACGCCGGTTCTCAAAGAGAACACTGCAACTGTCTTTTCTCACACTTGGGTCCAGGTGGCTCCTGGCATTGTGGTGTGGGTTTCCCTTCTGCAACAGCTGCTGTTAACTTAAGTCCTGCTCTGATGGGGCTCACCATGCAGCGACTGGTCGGAGTATCAGAGGAATGGATTCCCGCCCAATTCACTGTCTTTGCTTGGGTCTAGTGGACCATTGCTTGGGTCTTGCTGACCTTTGGTTCCCTGCTGCTGCCTGAGTGTTTCTTCCATATTCGCCTTCACAGGGACAGGATATGAAAAACCTGTTGGACATGGAGTATTAGCAACCTGAATGCTGAAGGTTATTCCAGAAAGCCTTGATCTGCCCCATTAGGTTTGCACGGTAAAGGCCATGCACAAGGGCTTAGTCACCAGAGGGTGCATGGTGGAAGGAAGTGACATCACAGGCAGTATGTTCTGGAGAGGACATGGGGACCCCAGCCCTTCCTGTCTCCTTTACCTTCCCTGCTACTTTGTGCCTTGCTCCTTTCTACGCTGCTGCCTTGATGTTCTGCCTTGCGTCAGACAAGCTGACTGTGGACCAACCCCTCTGAAACCCTGAGCCACTTCTTATGCATTGTATCACAGTGATAGAAAGCTCATTAATATAGTTCCTGAAGAAGTTAACATCATAGCCCAGTGCAGGGTGGCACATGCCTATAATCTCAACTCTGAGGGAAAGTGAGGCAGGAGGAACCCAAGTTCAAATCCTGCCTGGGCAATTTAGATAAACCCTATCTCAAAATTAAAAATAAAAAGGGCTGGAGGTGTAGCACAGTGGTAGAGCATCCCTTGGGTCAGTCTCCAGTACTGCAAAAGAAAAGCAGAGCTCCATAAATGTGGGTATTAATGTGTACCGTGGTTGGCCCTTAGCAAGTGTAGCTGCTCTGGCTCCCCCGGGGAAGAGTGGGTGGAGAGCACTGTGTGCAGAGAGGGAGCACCACAGCCTCTCCCTGGCCCGGCCTGGGAAACTGACTCAGTCCAAATCCTAAAAAGGTCTCTCATTTCCAGCACGGCCCCTGGTTGCACAGTGCAGTGGTGCCCAAGGAAGTGGTGGCCTCGCTGAGCGCTCAGGTTGGATGGTTGCCACCCCTCAGGGCTGGGCTGCTCTCCAAGGCGCTTGGCAGGGAGAAGGTGTCATCTTCCTAGTTTACATTTAATCATTGCATTTGGTGATTACCTTTTCCTTGAATTAAGTCACATATTTTAACAAATCAAGCAGCTTTTAAGATAATGGTAGGGAAGGCATAAAGAGGGATTAAATTTTAAATCACAATTTATGGACTTGCCTAGTAACATTTTTATGATGGCCCTCGAAGAATTATCTTTTTCTGTTTGATGAAAATAGAATTCGATTTTCCTGTGGGGTGTTTAACATTTTAGGTCATGATCATGCCAGGGATGAATTAATAGACGTCTGAGTGCACTGTCAGGCGGTTCCTTGGGGTCTGAAATGTAATTAAAAATGCCACGAGTTCGCTTTGGAGTCCGCAGAGGACTTCAGCGGCCTCTGGAAATGTTGGTCAAGGCCTGAACGTCTGCCCACACCTGTGGCACTGCAGGAGGTAGTGACCAGTCCCCTCCGCATCCACCTCTCTCCCCCTTGAAGTTCTGGGCATCATCTCAGCTGGGGCCCTGATGTGTGCTTCCTCTTTGTTAAGTGTCTGAGCAAATCAATCGATGCAGGCGGTTAATTAAAATCCAACACGCAAACACACCTGACACACGCTTTCGTTTCCTTCCAGACCTGCGTGGCTTTGCCCTGAGCTCTGAGCTGGATCTGGATGTTCGGAGAGGAATTCCTGCAGCTCTGACCTTCCAAGGCATCAGACGAGAAGGTCACCGTGCTCCAGAGTGCTGCGCTTTGCCGTCCCTCTCCTAACTCTGTGCCAAAGGTAGATCTGCAGCTCTCAGACGGAGGAGTGGACCTGCTGAAGTGGGTTTATCTGCACTTTGGAGGTGCCTGGTGCAGGCATGGGCTTGTCCTGCTGGAGCGCTCCCAGGCGAGGTGTCAGTGGGTGGACAGGACGTCTGTGGGAAGGCAGCCGTCATCCCTGGGCCAGGCTGTGGCCACCCAGTGGTTCTCAGTCCTGTTCCGAGCAGCCTCCTGCTGCCACAGATCAGGACAGGGCCACAGCTGAGAACTGCATGGGGCCTAGAGGGGAATGGGTCCACCTTGATGCTGAGATGTGTCAGAGGGGATGCAGACTAGTGAGGATGTTCGGGAAGGTTCTGCTGACCATGTGAGATGTGTTTTTTTGTGTGTGACAGTACAGACGAGATCGGAATAGATATGAGGGTTGTGGTACCCACCTGGTCCTAGGACCAATAGATACTGGTAGCCGAGGGCACAGGCGGGTGGGGAAGTCCTTTTGCTCTTGGCTTTTGTGAGGATGGAACCTGGGGCCTCACACATGCCAGGCCAGCGCCCTTCCACTGGGCTTCAGCTCACAGAAATGTCTCTTAGCCTTAACAAGTACTTGGAGTGATCCATTTAGGGTCTCAGCTACTGTTGGGGACCCAGTGAGTGCTGCTCCATCTCCGGTTGGGGGATGAGGAGCGCTGGGGTCAGGATACAGCGTCACCTTTAAGGACTGGCACTCGTGGCTGGCTTCTGCTTCCATTGTTTACAGATTGTTTTGAACTATTCTTGACTCTAGCATTTTGGACTTTGGAACCTTATGGTATAATGATTTCTGTGGATTTACTGTGTCAACATAAATTAGAGTCTCCCTTTACTTGGTCCAAATGACTCCTAAAGTATTTGGTGGACCATGTTTTGTTTCTTGGTTTTGTTTTGTGTGTGCATGTGTTTGTAATTTGGAACCTTCTCCATTTTGGTTATGACTTTTGATGTGCAGCATCTGGAGCCCCATGAGCTCGGCTGGGGAGGATCACCCAGTGAATGCACCCCGGTGCTGTTGGCTTGAGGTTTTGTTGGTGCCTAAAGTGCTGTTCACTAAGGGCTTTGCTGCTGCAATCGCAGAGCGAGTCTCGGCTGGGGACTGAGGACCTGACCCTCACTGTTCATGTCCTGCCCTTTGGCTCCCATGGCACCCGCCAAGCCCAGGACCCCCTGGGCCTGTGGGGCGCCCCATTGCCAGTCCTTGGAATCTGAGGTATGAAAGAGACCTTCTCAAACTTCTGGCGACTCCATTTTTAAAAAGTCAGTCCAGGAAGGGAAGCCTTTTGAGGCCTAGTCCTTGGTAAACGTGGTCACCTGGCATTGCTCATCACAGGACAGGGGATGTCAGCTGCAGGTCAGAGCCCCTCAGCTCCACCCAGCAGAATCCACCGGTTGCTCGTTGGAAGCCACTGTCATCCACTCCCTGCGCAGGTCTGCATCCCACAGTGGCTCTGCTGACTCAGCGCTGGAGTCTCCATGACACAGCCAGGTGAGGCGTGCAATCATGCACACCTGGGACAGGATCTGTCCCCTGTGCCCTCAAAGTTTTGTGAGGTCCACCCCAAAGATCCTGGTCTTTGTGTGTTAAGTACTTCCATGCTTTAGAGAAAAGAGAAAGGCAGCAGCTGTGCTGCTCAACAGTAAACCTGTCCTGAGCTCCACAGCCACGCTCCGGGCTGTGTGTTTCAGTGGCTGTGAAAACAGATAAAACACAGCTCTGAAACCGTTCTCAGTCCCTTGCTGGTGCCAGCTCTGTGACTGGTGGCTGTGGTGCAGAGGTTGGCGCCAGTCCCTGGTGTCCAACAGGGTGATGGGCTGTTGGGAGGAGTCCAACATACTCTCTGGGGTCTGGATGGAGGCCACCTACGTGCAGACTCTAGGGCGGGCAGTGTGGGCAGGGGAGGACGAGTCCCAGAGGCTTCCAGGCCCCCTACACAGGTGTGGCTTGGGGACCCGCATGTGCTGCCTGCTTGGTGATTTCTGCCATGCCAACAGGAAGGGTCGCAGCTGGCCATCCTGGTCTTTTGAGTTGCCAGAAAGAAAGGCTGGCAGTGCTGACTAGAAGGGCTGTGGAGCATTGACTATGGGTGGGGTCCCTGGTGACCCACACCACACCTGGGCGGCAGGAAGAGCGTGATTTTCGAAGTGGATGGCAGAGGGGCCCAATTGGAGTTTCGAAGCCCTGTTTGCTGGGGATGCATTTCTGTCCTGTGCTCTTGGGGCTCTCCTCTTTGTCCAGCCTCCTTTGCCAAGCAGGGTCTCTGGGGAGAGGGAGATGCCCCTAATTTTCACAGCACTGTCCTGACATGTGACCTTCACTGTGTTCTAGTCTGTGCTTGGGCGTTGACCTGGGCCCTGCTGAGGACAAGGATGTGAAGGGTGGTGTCCCCCTTAGAAAGCTGGTGGGCAGCCACTATTCTGAGGAGGGATCCTGAGGGGCAGGGCGGTCAGGACTGTCAGCAGGAACCTCGGTGGCTTAGGTGCCAAGGCCGGTGGCTGGGAACCCCAGCCCTGGGTGTTGCAAACCTGTGACTGCTCAAAGGGACAGCCCAAGCGCACACATCAGCGGTGGTCCTGCATCCTTTTGGGCTGCGTTAGAGCAGCAGTGTGTGCCATTGAGCAGGAGGAAAGGAGAAGTCCTTTCTGTCGCCTCATGTTCAGAACGCATTACTAGTCACTCCCTTTGGTATCTTCATGTTAGTCCTCATCCCAGAGCAGTGGATTTACCTGGAGTTTAAATCCATTGGGCATTACTGTAACAAAGTGCCCCAGGCTGACTGCATTATAGAGAAGGAGGGTTAGCAGCCCTCAGGCTCTGGATGTTTAGGGTCCTTGCTAGTGAGTTCTGAGGAGCATGCAGTGGCCCATGGCAGGTCAGCTGCTTCTCCCTCTGTCAGTCCTGCCTCTGCACCCTGGGGTCACCTGGGACATGCAGGGTTCGTGGCACCCCACCTTGAGGAGGACAGAGGGTCCTGGGCACTGTGTCATTACAGCAGCCTCTCCTCGGGTTCTGCCACTTTAAGGGCCTGCACTGAAGAGTTTTTGCATATTCACCCATCAGATGATTGTTGGGATTTTTAAAAGAATCTCATTGTGATCCAGGCCTTGTGGCTCACACTTGTAATCCCACCATTTTAGAGGCTGAGGCAGGAGGGTCACTATTACTTAGTCCAGGTGAGCCTGGGCTCACGGCGAATTCAGCCTAGCGTGGACGGCATAGCCAGACCTTGTTCCCAAAAACCAACCAACCAACAAATTAAATTAAAAATTCCACTCTAATTACTGTTTGTGGGAGAGTCTGCTCTTTGATCCTGAGAGGGAGGCAACCCTCCGCGGAGACTCAGCTCGAACATCAAAGCAGAACAGTGTGCCGGGGAACAGGAAGTGGTGGCAGTATGGCACTGCAGAGGCACCGGAAGCGCTGGCCAGCTGCAGTTGGTGACCCCCCGGCTGGCCTGCTACTGTGGGGGTCCTGACTGGGGGCGGTGGGTCCGGGCAGGGGCAGCGGAGGTCCCTGTCCTGGTGTCACCCGCAGAAGACGAGTGTTTCTCTCTGTAGGGGTTTTAGGTTGAGCCTGCTCTTTCTCAGTGGGGCCGTGACCGGGTCACACAGGGCCCCAAGGGTGGAGAATCTTCATAACTTTACGGAAGGCAGAATGTGCAACACCCTGCCCTGCCGTTTTCCCTGGGCTCTGCCAGCATGTGTCATGTGGCCTCTTTCCTAACCAGACCGCAGGTCCTCAGGCTCAGGATTCTTGGTCCCCAGGTCCTGGTGATCTTGCCTGGCACTCCCAGCCCTGTCATAACTCAGCAAGGCTCCTGATTGGCCAGAGTGACTGCTTTCCTTGCCGTTTCAAAGCTGACCCCACAGGCTTGGTCCTGTCCCTGCAGGGGCTGGTCAGCGGTGTGGACCATGTGTCTGTGGGAGGTGGTCATCAGCTCTCTCTGGAGCAGAAAACATAAGGAGGACAGATTTTGAGTGAGATACCTGATCAGTTATTTGCTACAGAAACAAAACTAATGAACCAGGAATTTCTGATTCCCAAATTAGAACCAAATTCTATGTAGGCTACTGGTAAAGGGCTCTGGGCCATTGTACAGTGAGCCTAGATCTGGGCCCTTTCTGGCCAAGCCTTTCTGTGCCCCTCAGTGAGCCCCAAATGACATCCCAGGGACCTCTCCTTGGAGGGGCTTCTCTCTCTTCCCCACTTGAAGGTGTGTGTGTGTGCTGAAAGTAAAGGGGTTGCTAAAAACGTACAGTGCAAACATTACACAACAGGAACTGTCCTGGTGCTGTCAAATAAAACACTCCAGAGTGCTGGCGGTTAGCATGACGGAAGCAGGATGATTGCTCTGCAAAGACAGCATTCTTATGCATGCCTACTCCCGGCAACGGAGGTGCTGTACAAGAAAACCACAGAGCTTCAAGGAGAAGGAGACAAACCACAGCCACCTCGGGCCTCTCCCCACCCATCAGGGCAGAAACCCGAAGGGGATCCAGGAGACCCAAGCTCATCGTATGATCTGTTAACAAGGCCTGGCTCCCACTCCACCCGACCCACAGCAGTAGGGTGCACCTCCCCAACTGGCACCCACAGGACCTGCACTGCACTAGACCCACCCTGGGCCAGAAGGCAGACAGCAACAAATTTTAGAGAACTGAAGTCATGAAGTATGTCTGTCTATCCTTTTAATATAGCCTCTCCTTTTTGCCTTAAGACAAAATAGTTCATTTCAAAAGGTGACAGACCAGGTGGTTCCATTTATGTACCATTCTCAAAATGACGAAGTCACAGAGGTAGAGCACATAGTTGGGCATCCCCCTGCCCACCCCCGGCAGCAGCGGCTATGACTGCTGCTGGGCCACTGAGGGAGGTCTGTGGGCCTTCATGTCCTGTGTTCCAGCTGTGATGGTGTCAGACAGAACCTTGTGCACAAAGGACACCACGCCCACCCACCAAGCCCTGGTGAAGGAGCACGCGAACCTTGG